CAGATGCCAGCGATCGCGGTGCTCGCGGCCGCGGCGTGCTGCCTCCTGCAGGTGGAGAGCCGGCACCTGGCTGCGCTCGCCGGCGGCCCCAACCACGGCCATTTCCTGGACAATGACCAGTGGCTGAGCACCGTCTCCCAGTACGACCGGGACAAGTATTGGAACCGCTTTCGAGACGTGAGTACCGCGCCGCCTGCCTGCGGGGCGGGAGCCTCGGAGAGGGGCCTCGGGAGCCGGGGACGGGGCGGGGGCCGGTCGCCCTCGGAGGCTTGTCCCTCCTGGCTCCTGGGCTGCGTCTTGCCCGAGAGGAACTTTAAAGAGAACTCCGAAGGGCGGAGCGCTTCCTGTTACCTGTGGCCCAGGTGTGTGTGTTGCCGGACGGGGCGACTGCACTGGCATATGGCACAGGCCAGAGCCGCCGGGGGGAGGGAGGCTCCGAAGCGAACGAGTGCCCCTAAGTGATGGGTGATGCTGATCGGCCAAGATCCAAGAAGACCTACCTGGGGCCGCAGTGATTTGGGCCACCTCTAGGGAGAGCTTGGGTTTGGGGGTGAGCCCAGGTCATTTATTAGGGAGTCAGGTGCTGAAGGTGTGGGGTGAGGAGGTGGTGGCCACGGTGGTGGCGGCGGTGAAGCGGGGGATGTCATGCAATGAGCCCGGGCGTCAAGTGCTGGGGAGGAGTGTGGTGTTTTGGACCCGTAGAAGCTAAGGAAAGGGAAAAGGGGAACAGGCAGCCAGGGGAGCTGGTCCCTCTCCCTGAAGGGGAGTCTGGGCGGCGAGAGTGCATCTCTGGGAGAGCCCTGGGCACCCAGAAGCACACCGCTGCCTGTGTCTCCCCCAAGGCTGGCTGCTCTGCCCAGGGGTACCCCGGAGGATGTGGGGCAAGAACTCCTGGGATAGGCCTCCCAGATTCAATGGGCGCTTCCAGGGCACTTGCAAGGACCATATTTTGTGGTACTTAACATTAGGAATTCCTGTCCCTGGGAGGCCTTAAATATTATGAAAGTGCCGAGGCTTAACAACAAAAAGAGAAAAGCTGTAATTTACGTTCAAAGGCACTGCCTTTTGCTCCTTGGTTTCTGGAGCAGTTTTGGGTGTTAAACTAATATTTTTTTTAGCAGCGTGTGTTTTTAAAAAAGATCATTTGATCCATGCCACAGAGCCCCATTCTTGTCTCAGGGCAAGGTGCAGAGGCTCTTTGAAGTGGGTTATGTACCTTCCTCTGCTGGATTCCTCTAAGCCCCACTCTCAGTATCCTCAGCCTTTGCAGGGAGAGGGTCTGAGGAACTGCATGGCTCCCAGATGTTTTCTTATACTTTCTGGAGAGCACCTTCCCAGGTCCTCCTCTGGAGGAGCAGATGCACCCACAGCTTTACGTAGGGGCTTACTTGCCTCTCTTTTCTCTGTTCTGCTTATTCTTCTTTCTAGTCGACAGCTGGGCTGCTTCTCTTGGAAAGGGGCTTTCAAGCACTTTCAGTGAACATCCACAGTTGCTTGGGGCTTTACTTTTAAAAAAATTATAATTTATTTCAAAAACAATTTTAATTGATACATTATCATTGCTGGAGCCTTACTTTTGCAGCAGATATGCCCCCTGCTCCCCTTCCCCATCCAGTGAGATTCCTGCCACACCTTGCCCTGACTCTGACCTGCTTTGTTAACCAGCCATACAGCCCTGCACCAATTATCTTTGCCTGTGGCTGAAAAAGATGCCCAAGCCATGAAGGGCTCGTCTGGCGCAGAAATAATTTTGCTTTGCTTTGTTTTGTTTTTATTTTCCTATCTCCGTGTTATAGATAGAGCTGAGGAACAGGCAGATGCTAAACTCTGCTAGTGATAGAAGAATTGGGCTTAGAAGCTGAGGGTCACCTTTGCAGATGCCTTGGTTCTCGTGGCAGCTGGGTTGGACTGAAAACACTTGTGCTTGTTGTGGAAAGGTTTACTGTGCCTTCTCAGTGTATCATAAGCACGACATTCTTAATTCTTGCTTTACGTTTTAAAAAATTGGCCTTCCCTTCACTCTTCATCCCTCCTCTTTTTTATGAGTGATGGTGACATTTTAAAATCCTTGGATCAGTGTTTTTCCAAACCTGACTGAGGATGAAACTCACCTGAAGTGCTTATTAAGTTATAGCATCAAGGATCCTCCCCTGGAGATTCTGATTCCTTATTTCTGGGGTGAGTGCTAGGAATTCATACTTTAAACAAATATACTAGGTAATTCTTATGATGTTTAAGAAATACTGCCTTAACTTTGTAAAAGTGTCCAAGACATAACACAAAGAGATAAGTTTTATGTTCAAAAGCACTGTGTTTTGCTTCTGGAACAGTTTCGGATGTTAAACTAACATTTTTCGCGCATATATTTTTTGAAAATGGTAATTTGATCCAGCGTACTGTTAAAAACATCTAAAAATGCTCCCCAAATCCCAGACATCTTCAGTCATCAGCCATTTTGTATGCTTTGTGGAATCTTCTGACACTTGCAGTGGCTCTGACATAATTTAACATCATTAACCTCTTTAAAGTGTTGTGAAACTCAGCCCAGATGCTCTTTTAGGGCAAGTCCAAGGATATTCAGTTAGGTCATTTACTTGGAATAACCACAAAGCCTGAGTCCCCTGGGACAAAGGAGTAAGAGGTTGTTTTCTGTAGAAAGCAGCTACTCATTGGGCAATGGAGAAAGCCTCAGCTAGTATTGCAGTTGCTCAACTGGCTGCATCATTTTCATTGAGCTGGGACTTCCTTGAGGCTGACAAAGCCCCAGATTCTTTGCTATTGCTTTGGTTGTTTTGTTGAAGGGACTGATAACTCTGAAAGTCTGTGTCCCAAGATTATTGTTATGATGCTTGTCAGTTTTTGAGACTCATTGTGAAGGAGAATGTTTTGCCTTCCTCCTGATTTGTCACTCTGTTGGACATGGGGGAGAGAGCTTTTGAAGTGATATTTGAACTTAGGAAATTGAAAGCTCAGGGCTCTTTTTAGAGGGTTGATTGCAGTCATTGGTTGGTGTTACTAGGCCAGTTTTGAAATAACTATAATGACAATGATGGTGGGATGTGTGCTCCCTCTCCCCTGACTCCCATGGTTGTTGGGTGTGCTGTGACATCGTCAGAGATGACCTGTCAGCCTCTACTGACCACTTTGAAATGTGTCCTATTGCTCTAGACACACTAACACTTACTGTCTCTTATTTCCAGAAGTGAAGCCTTCAGAACTACTTCACGGCTTCTTGCCTGGAGTTATGGATCCAGGAGAAATATAACAACAGTCTGATGATGGCTCCTAAGTGTATTTGTGGTCTATTCGTTTTGTCATTATTCTCTTATAAAGAGTAACAATTGGAAAGTTTTGGCCAGATGGAGGCCCAGACTTCTGCTCAAATACAATGTTAAGAAGGAGGAGATGAAAAGGCAGATGTGTGGCTTTCCATCTTCGGCTGGCCTGCTTATAACTTCTGCATGGTTTGTGGCTGAGGCGTCAAGATGCCACAACCATGCACCTAATTTTTCTGAATCTGATAGGGTTTTGGCTTTACATAACCATTACTATAAGAAAAATTTCCTCTGTTCATTCGTACATTCTATGTTCATCCATTCCAACAAATACTTGACTGTCTGCCATGTGCTACGCATTGGGACTATAAGGGTGAAAAAGAGAAAAAAAAATCTTTCATGTAACTCTTGTCTGCTTGATCAAATTCTTTCACTTATGCTGTCACACATTTCTTATTCTGTTTTCTTTTTTAAAAAATAAATTTCTTCTTATTAAAGTAATACATGCTGATTATAACTGCAAGATTGCAGAAATAGATAACAGCTAACATTTATGGAGCACTTAGTGTGCCAGACATTGTTCAAGGTACTCTCCATATATTATCTTATTTAATATTCATAACCATCCTATGAGAGAATACTATTACTGTCATCCCCTATTTACTGGGATGTGCAGACCCCTGGTCAAAATTATGGAGCTGGAATCGAACCAGGCCATCTGACTCTAAGCTCTCACTGTGTCCTGCTACCAGTCAGGAGTTGAGTGGTTTTGGGGCATGAGCCTCCATTGATAGCACGTTGCAGGCTTTTCCTGCTTTATGTCTGAGGACGATCTGCAAAGCACCTTAGGTTAAGCAAAGTGGGTTGGGAAGCCAGGTGGACACAGTGGCTGTAGGGGTCATGTCAAGGCTTATCTTCTCCTAATAATGAGATTCTGATTTGATTAAAATAATATTGTTGCTTACACCAAACATGACATTTTCTTTCTTCTGCACATGTGAAACTAGTGCTGACATTTAACTTTAGGATAATTACTTTTAGCAGGCCCAAAGAATCAGAAGTGTTGCCTTGGCTGGCATTTATCTTACTGTGGAGTGACCTGAGTTTGTAATTCTAATAAGAGCACGAGGACCAACCCATGTTCTTTTTCCTTCTGGCACATACTCCGTGGGATTTGGTGGTCTCTGTAGCAGAACTGGGGTGGCAGCGAGCATCTGATCTGCTCGTTTGATCTCAACATCTCAGCTGTAATGAGTTTCAAGGGCAAGTGGAGCTTATTGATAAAACAGTGGCTGGCTCAGTCAGTGGAGCTGGTGACAAAAGAGGTGGTATGGCTTAGTGGATCAGTCATTAATCTGTCACCACGGAAACTCGGTTTGTAATTGAGAGTAGCAGAAAATCATTTTGATTAAACAAGTTCAAGGAGACTTAAATGAGTTTGTGATCCCGACTCTCTTTAATGAACCCACTATCTTAAATCCCCTGTACTAGATGACCATTGATAGAAATAAGTATTTTCCAGGGATCATTATAAAAGGACATTTTAAAAGTTGATAGGCCTAAGAGCATTCTTGTCTTCTCTGGCCCCACCTTTGGTTTGCCCTTGCCAGTGAAAAGCTAAGTCTTCTTAGATGGCAGGGCTTTGTGCCCCAGCTGACCCTCCCAGGCTCATTTCTGCCTCTCTTGGTTCTTCCCAGTCCCATTCCCACCGTCCTTCAGCTGAACTGTACTGCTGTGAGGACACATACTGCCCTATATTACAATGAGGTATTTTCAAAACCTGAAAGTGACTCCAAATGGATAATCAGACCTACCAAATTCCTTTAGAGGAATGGGACCTTGTTGTTACCTCAACCATGGTGTCTTGCTTGAGGAGGCAAAGTAATGTTAGTCATTAAATAT